ACAGCACAGGAACAGGCCCTTCGGCCCTCCAAGCCTGTGCCGATCCAGATCCTCTATCTAAACCTGTCACCTATTTTCCAAGGATCTGTATCCCTCTACTCCTCGCCCATTCATGTATCTGTCTAGATACATCTTAAATGATGCTATCGTGCCCGCCTCTACCACCTCCGCTGGCAACATGTTCCAGGCACCCACCACCCTCTGCGTAAAGAACTCTCCATGCATATCTCCCTTAAACTTTTCCCCTCTCACCTTGAAATCGTGACCCCTGGTAATTGAGTCCTCCACTCTGGGAAAAAGCTTCTTGCTATCCACCCTGTCTATACCTCTCATGATTTTGTAGACCTCAATCAGGTTCCCCCTCAACCTCCGTCTTTTTAATGTAAATAATCCTAATCTAAGGTAGTGTTTTTGATCTGCAGTAACTCAAGCCTGAAGATAGCCCATTTATTTCCCCCTACCAATTGTTGCATTATGTGCCTTTTAATTAATACCAATGACCTTTACATGTGTGAACCAATCACCCATGCCTCTTGCAAAATAGGTGAAAGGAAGATCAAGAAACAGTGCACTGATCAGCAGAAGGATCATCTCAGCAAACCCTATGGACAGGGAGCATAGAACTCCTTTCCCAGCCTTACCTTCCACTCATAAGGCCCATGTATTTTTCTATTTGTCTATCTGTGTGTGTGTGTGTAGAAGAGTTTGGTGTTTATAAGAGGGTTGGAGATTCAGCTGGTAGTTATATGCAAATGGCATTTAATTGTTTGTCTGCAGCTGGAATTGGTTTATTTCTAATAAATAGTTATTCTCATTAAGCACAGAAACCCAGTCTGTGCTTTCTGTCAACCTGTAGCTAAAACTGCAATTTGTGAATTTCACCTGCTTTTTAAAACCTTCAACAGTTATGATGACTCTGGAATAATGGGGCTTAATTTCCAGTTCACTACCCCAGTGAGGAGCATCACAGTGAGGAGCAAACATGAGGGGTCTAGACAGAGAAAACAGGAAGAACCCATTTTCTCTCAGAAAAGGATCAAGGACCAGAGGGCACAGTTTAAAAACAGCATGGATAGTCAAGATCTTTTTGCCAGGATAGGGGAATCCAAAACTAGAGGGCATAGGCTTAAAGTGAGTGGGGAAAGACTTAAAAAGGACCGAAGGGGCAACTTTTTTACACAGAGGTTATTGTGTGTATAGAATGAGCTGCCTGAGGAAGTGGTGGAGGCTGGTACAATTACAACATTTAAAAGGTATCTTGTTGGGTAACAAATAGGAAGGGTTTAGAGGGATACGGGCCAAATGCTGGCAAACAAGACTTAATTATTTTAGGGATGAGTTGGATCAAAGGGTCTGTTTCTGTGCTATATAGCTCTATGGCTTCTAAGTATTTTGTCAAAGAAGCAAGAGTGGGGTTTCAAAGAAGCTTTCCTCACGGCAAATAGTTAGGGCTTTGAAATGTGGTGGAGGCTGATTCAGTTGAGGTATTTAAGAGGGCACCAGATGATTATTTAGCGGAAATGTTGTGCAAGGTTACAGTGAAAAAGGCAGGAGATTGGCACCAGTTCCAGAAACTGAAAGCACCAGTTCACTTGGGAGGGCCAAATGGCCTCTAAATGGCACCGTAACAGTTCTGTGATCCTGTGGAGAGGCTGAGATTGTATTCCTTATCTCATCAAAGGTAACTGGGTGATTGAATTAATGCAGTTAAAATTACACAACTGTTTTGACAGAATAGAAAAGAAGGCAACGTTTTCATTCGTAGAAAAGGTGGGAACCAGAGGAACTGGATTAAAATAATTGCAAAAGCAACCAGGTAGGATTGTTTTTTTCACAAGCAGCTGATGCAGGCCTGAATACAAGGGACAAGGCCAGTAATCTCATGCTGTTGTATAATAGTCTGAAAGGTTCTGATAGGGTTAGTGCTTGACCCACTGCAGTAAAGTGCGTACCACTGTGATGAGATCATGAGGACGTGGAGTGAAGTAGGAACTCCTAGGGGAACAGCCCTTAAGCTGGTGTGCATTTACCAGTCTCTGTTTTCAAACTTTTGTATCTTCTGTCAGATTGAAAAGGGTGGGAGAGATTATAACTGGGGTTGGAGGGGTCTTTGATTATGTTGGCTGCTTTCCTGAGGCAGCAAGAGGTATAGACTGAGTCAGTGGGAGGAAGGCTGGTTTTCATGATGGACTGGCTGCATTCACAACTCTGTAATTTCTTGTGGTCTTGGGCAGAGCAGTGATATAATGCATCTGGACGGGATGCTTTCTCTGGTGCATCTATAAAATTTGGTAGAAGTTGTATTACTCCCTTTCTATCCCAGAAAGACCCATTACAAATGAAATTTCAAAACCTAGGTGAAGAGCTAAGCTTGTAAAGATTGGGTGAGAAGACAAGACAAATCTAGCAGCAGTTATTACCTGATGTCAAACTTCCCTTTCTGACGTAGATTAGAGGAGAAGGGAGGCAAAGAGTTCAATAGGTTTGAAGTCCTGGAAAAGCCTTTAGTTTTAGTTCCTTTTTTTAGGCAGTTGTATTACTACGAATAGTGATGGCTCAGTTGGGGGCTTTGGCTGTTTTGCAATGCAGCGTGAAGCCAACAATGTTAATTCAATTCCCTCACTGGCTGGGATTACCATGGAGGATCCTCCTCCTCAATCTCTCCTCTTGCCAGAGGTGTGGTGACACTTAGGTTAAACCACCACCAGTCATATCTCTCGAATGAGACCCAATGGTTCAGTAGAACTATGGAGACTTTATGTTTAACTTTACAAGTGGTGATCTTGTGGTGTAGTGGTATTATTCCAGCCGTAGGAGCTCTGTGTTTGAGTCCAATGCAGGACTTGTGTGTGGAGGCTGTGTTTAGGATGTAGTCATGGTGATTGGTTGTCAGCCTATATGTCCATCCACCGTGACTGCTCAGCCATTCTGCAGAGGCAGTGATAAGCCATGGCAGGACTTTTGCTTGTAAGTGTGGACCAAACTAATGAGGACATTGCCAACCTTAAGAAACAAGGGTGCGGGAAAAGACAGGCAGATGTTGGTAACAAAGATCATTGCAGTCTACTTAACCTTCTCATTTTGTTGTTCCCCTCCCCAGAGCTGAAGCATGAGATTCATGTTTGGAGACTCACAGCTCAGCGCATTAACCCTGCCAGTCGAGAGGAGACTGCAGTGAAGTGCCTACTCATGCAGAAGGTGCTCAATCTGGAGAACGTGCTCCGGAAAAAGCTTAGGACTTTTCAAAGGTTAGTTTTTTTTTATTTGTTCATTGCTGTTTAAGCTTTGTTGGTGAAGCTGTAGAATTGCAAATAAATTACAGTCCATGTAATGCTTGATTACTTATCCTCACATGGGGTTCCCACTGAGACTCTTTTTAACTTCAGGAGGCCTATCAACTTGAAGTGACTTTTTGGATGACTTTACTGATTTACATTTAAATACAACTGATTTATGCTCCATTTGCAATCTCTGCTCTGTAGCTCTCACTGCAATTTGTCCGATGTCTGTTCGTTGTGTTATGTTTCACACTGATTTAATTCTCACCAACTTGTGTGTTATGGTCGCAAGGAAGAAGAGTTGGCACACACCAGCTGGCATTGTTTATGAACTGCATCGAGGGTCTGTTTATGAAATCTCTTGGACATGATTAATTTGTTTGAGATAACCAAAATGTAAAACTATTTCAACAATTTTTCAATTTGGAGCAGTGTTTCTCCCAGAACCTGCATCTCCCATTTAAAAAAAATCATTGTTGAGATGTGAGCTTTGCTGGACAGACGAGCATTAATTACTAGTTCCTAACTGCCCTTGAGAAGGTGGTATCTATTGAATTGCTGCAGTCCTTAAGGTGTAGGTGCACCCACAGTGTTGTTTGGAAGGGAGTTCCAGGATTTTGACCCAGTGACACTGAAGGAATGGTGATGTAGTCTCAAGTCAAGATGGTGTGTGGCTTGGATGGGAACCTGCTGGTGCTGATGCTTCCGTGCATCTACTGCCCTTGTTCCTCAAGATGGTCAAGGTCATGAGATTTGGAAGATGTTGTAAAAAGGAGTTTTGGTGGGCCTGAATGCCACTGATTATCCGAGTATACAGTTCAAAGCGCGATCGTTATTTCATCCGTTTGAAACAATAATAATCTACTAATGCAGGCAGCCTATTTGCCTTTGGGAGATGTCCTGGAAAAGACGGTTTAATTTGTTACACAATGCTCAAGAATTTAACAAATTTAAATTTGTACAGCTCTCTCGTTAAAAAAAAATCAATCTGAGCTGTTAGCAAAGACCAGTGAGATGAAGACGGAGTGAGAGAAGAAATAATTGGTGGGGTTTGAGCATAGGGAGTGTTTTCTGAGCCAGACAAAAGTGCCTGTTAATAAGTAAAGGGGAACAGTGCAACAAGGAAGATAAATAACATGAATTAGGGTGAGACTTCCAGAGAGAATAGTGGCTAATACTTCTGGTGCTGAAGATGGAGAAGCAGGAAACAAGTAATGATCCAGAGTGAAAAGAACAGGGTGAAAAACAAAAGAATTGCAGATGCTGTAAATTAGAAACAAAAACAGAAATTGCTGGAAAGGCTCAGCAGGCCTGGCAGCATCTCTGAAGAGAAATCAGAGTTAACGTTTCAGGTCGAGTGACCCTTCTGAAAAGAATGGAGACTGGCACAGATGGCCAGAAAAAGTGGTGAAAGTTTAGGGAGGAGGTTGAAATGAGGTTGAGAGCCTCAACATCTTGCTGGTACACACAGAGAGGCAGCAAAGTAGAGAGAGAGGTTGGATGTGATGGGTAGAGGAACTGTAACATGAAGCATTAGTAAACGTTATGCTAACAGCTAGAGTCCGTCATCAATCATGTCAGACCAGATGAAACTAGGACCCGTGGAAAGAAGATTTGAAGGAAAGTGTGCTTAACCATATCTCTGTAAGTTGTGTACATAATTAATAAATGTTCCTTACCTGGCCCAACTTGGTTTTCAACCCTAATGTGTTAAAAGCAACCAGAACCTAATGTGATATTTATACAGAGCAGGCCATTGAGTCATCAGATCTCCTCTGCCATTCAATGAAGCCACTACTGGTCTCAATCCTAACTTCCATTGGCTCAGTACTCCTTATTACCCTTAACATTTAAAGAAATCTGTTCATTTCTGATTTAAGATTAATAATCCAGCTAGCAACTACGTAAGAGTCCTTTGTGTAGGATAAAGCTCAGAGTCCAAAGTTCCGGGTTAGCAAGAATGTTAGAAGTCAGATACATCAAACATCAGTCTGTAATATTGTCAATGAGTGGATAGGGGTTTCAGCAGGCCCAGCAGTGTTAAAACATAGCAATATAGGAAATTTACAAACCAAAAAAGTCACACATCCTGATGGCAGGAGACAATTCTCACCCACAGGCAGTAACCGTGAACAGAAAGCCAGAGCTCATAACAGAAAGAAAATCCCAGACAATTCATCCTGAGCTTTTTAAATCCAAAATATACTTTGTTCATAAAATTTGTAAAAGTACATTTCAAAAACATTTTGACTTGGAAATTACAGAAGATGCAATAAATTTCAACTTGTCTCTGTATGCATATTCTGTTCTTAGGCGTCTCTATACAATTGTGATACTTTTAGTATTTACTATATAAATTTTATGTTGGGCACGCAGCTCTAATGCAAGACATTTCAAATGGGAAAGTTACAGAAAGTACGGCAGAAATACGTTTCTTCCATGCACTATGCTCTTCCCTCAGGTGCCTCAATGCAGTTTCAATGCACTTGATGTTCTCAGAGCAAGTTCGTTTTCAGGCATACAGTACTAGGGGTTCAACAAATGGCAGCTCCTCAATGTCCTTGGCTAAAACTCCTTGGGCAATGAAAACCACCCCAGGAGATCACAGGGACGACATGTGGGACATAGTCAGAATCTTTTGCACATTGTAACTATCATTCCTGCAGCTCACCGCAGCAGTTTGTTGCAATCAGGTTCAGGAAGCCAGGGCGATGTTTTTTGCTTTTCGTTTCCTCCCCGTTAATCTGAGGCATTGATGCCAAGCAGAAGATTCTGAATAATCACCCTGGTTATCATCTAACTAGTCATGGACTGGGATTTGAATCTGCAACCTTCTGGTGGGTGTTGCTTAATGCTCCACCATCTGGTGCTTTTAGATAGTAAGCCATCAGACTTTCAACTATGCTTTAATTATATCATCAAAGGGAATCCGAGATTCTTAAATCATTAACTCGAAAGGAGCAGACTGGGTTCAAAGGAAGAAACCTCATCTTACAGACACAGAGGATTGAATTCTCCAATATTTTGGCTCAGTGTCAATTTCAGGAAGTTTCATGCAGGGTTTCCCTCTGTGAGCCCTGGAGACTTTACTCTCATAATTTTCCACTGTGCACCTTATTAACAATGCACTCTGACTCCATGGCAACATTCTGGCACAATCTTGCAGCCAGCAGAGGTGGAGATGATCATTGGGTGCTGGAATGTTGCGGGAATCATGTTGCAAGCTTTGTATTTAAACCCTAGCTGCACACAACTTCAAACCATGCAAACCAGGAACTGTCCTGAGCGTGCCGATGTACAATTCCGCATGGCATGGTTGAGAGAGGCAAGTTGGCACCCTGCTTTGCCAGCAGCAACCTGGAGACCTTGGTGGACGGTGTGGTGCAGAGGAAGGCCGGGTCTTTGCCCAAGGCTGACAGAGAGAGACCACCGCACCAGATGCTGTCAGACCACCCAGGCCAGTGTGTTGCCCACAGTCTGGAGGAATGCACTGAAATGCCACTAAGGTCTGTACTCTGCCAGGGTAAGTGCCACCATCTTCTCCACTACTGCACCACCTCCCATCAATGCTCATGGTCTCCCACTGTTCAATGATCAACATCAATGCTATTACTAATCTCCACTGCAACAATCACAGCATCTATCCATACATTCTTTGTGAACAATTCAGAGACTGAATATATTTAATTTCTGTCCTTTTGGACTTCCCACTTATTTCTGTTTTGTGTATTCCACTTTAATTCTTCTCACATTTAGTCATTTAACAAACTCATTTGGTTAACTAAGGAAAGACTAATTAAATTGGCTCATTACAAAACCAGAGCTCATTTGGATCTGGGAGAAAGGTGTCCACAAGAGAAGGGATTTAAAAATAATTAATCTTATTGCAATCAGCCAATTGGGCAGGTGAATAACGAAGGGGAGGTAGTTCATCACTCCTCACCTGGAGGATTTGGATTTTGGGTATCCTATCTGGAACCCTAGTGAATTGGGGAGCCTTGCTCAGGGCCTGGACATGATAATACTCAGGTTACCCGTTTTGGAGAGGTAAGCTACCTTTTGGATCTCGTCCTGGAACACAGTTGAGCAAGTTAAGGTGTACCTTGGGAGAGGTCAAGTGTCCTTTAAATCATTTGAGGGCGGCACAGTGGCTCAGTGGTTAGTTCTGCTGCCTCAAAGTATCAGGGACCCGGGTTCAATTCCACCCTCCGGCAACTGTCTGTGTGGAGTTTGTACATTCTCCCTGTGTCTGCGCGGGTTTCCTCTGGGTGCTCTGGTTTCTTCCCACCGTCCAAAGGTGTGCAGATTAAGTGGATTGGCCAAGCTAAGTTGCCTAGAAGGTAGGCAATGTAGATTAGCCATGGTAAATGTCAGGTTATGGGGATTGGGTTGGGGAGTTGGTTCTGGGTGGGGTGCTCTTCGGAGGGTCATTGTGGCCTCTATGGGCCGAATGGCCTTTTTCTGCACTGTAGGATTCTATGGTTAACTTCAGGAAAAAAAAACCCAAAAAGAAATGAGTACCACTGTTGCGCCTTGCTAAAAGTAGACATTAATGCCCATAAACTCAATTCTCAAACTCATTAGAGCTGTCAGAAGCCCCCATCAAAGAAACCTGTAAAATATGTCAAGAGAACGGTGTCAGAAGGACATGCCAAAAGCACCTATCGAAAGATGCTATCAAGACATTTAAAATTCCTGCAATTTAAATCTTTGAAACAAATTACTGGTGAGTTTAAGAAACAGTTGATCACCATTTGGCTAGCTTTTTATTTTAAGTTTTTTTTTCCTGAATTCAAATTTCACCACCTGCCATGGTTGGTTTCAAACCCATCTCCCCAGAACATCATACTGAGTTCTGGATTACTAGTCCAGTAATAATACAACTACACCACAGCCTCCACTGATAGTGGCTACAGGTGAACCCCTTGAGGGTCTTAGGTCAGTCTCATTAAATATTTTAGGGTGGAATTCTACGGTGGATTAAATTCCCAACCATTCCACATGCTTTATTCCCATCATTTGATCTGGGTTTAGACAAGCAGGAATGATAGCCTGGCTCATCCTTGAGGTCTAATCTTTGAGTTGACACCTTGTGGTGTAGTCGTAAGTTACATTTGTCTGGATTTAAGATGAACATCATCAGAATTCTGAGTTGCTAGTCCTTTGTCCTACAGGTGATGTTTTCTGCCTTCAGTGAAATTAAGAAGGGTGAAATTGAAAAGTAAAGCTGCAGAATGTTATTGAAATCCTCTCTTGATTGAGTTACATCCAAAAAAACAAAACAAATTTAATTCTGGGTGCAGCATCCTTTGAACATTAAGTGTGAAATGTAAAAGTTCATTTTGTTATTGCCTCACTTGTGAAATGCTGCAGAGTACAATATTCCTGAGAATACTATCTGCTTGTTTATTGCTTTATTTCATGTTGAACGTACAACTGCAGCATTTGGATTTATTGATGTCCTTTTCTATGTTTTAGACAAATTTCACACGATGACAAAAACTGGGAAACTATCATTCAGGAACTGCAGAAAACAGTAAGGAAGTTTTAAATGTTTTATCTTTTAATATTAAAAAATAAACCTCCATCTGTTATATATGCAACTTAAAGCTAGTCTGACAAATTCTATCTTTTAACTATTTCTACCTGATTGCTGAAATTTATGGAAAATAGTTGATTAGCACCTAAAAATACTGAACATGGAGACCATCCTGCATTGCTAGTGATTCTGATTTTTAAAAAAGATAACAATAAATTTAAAACTGAAAGAACTGCAGATGCTGTAAATCAGAGACAAAAACAGAAATTGCTGGACAAGCTCAGTAGGTCTGGCAGCGTCCGTGGAGAGAAATCAGAATTAACGTTTCAGGTCAAGTGACCCTTCCTCAGTTCTGAATTAATAAGGCTGGCACTTTTGTTTTGTGAATTGGAAAGGAATGTTAGGCACTTTTTAAAACTTGAGATGATACAACTGTGACATCACCGACCTCCCTCAATGTTCCTGTTACACTCTGAAGGCTCTGACACCCAAACTTTGCGACTTTCATTTCTATTCATTGAAATCCTTGGTGGTGCTTTGCACTGTAGATTTTTATCCTTAAGTAGATTAAAAATCAAATAAACAACTGGGACTTTTTTCACTGCAGTGTAGGAGGTTGAGGGGTGACCTTATTGAGGTTTATAAAATCATGAGGGTATAGATGAGATGAACGACAAGGATCTTTTCCATAGGGTGGGGGAGTTCAAAACTAGGGACATATTTTTCAGGTGAGAGCAGAAAGATTTAAAAAGACATGAGGGGCAATTTTTTTTTTTACACAGAGAGTGGCACATGTGTAGAATGAACTGCCAGAAGAAGTGGTGGATGCGGGTACAGTTACAACGTTTAAAAGACATTTGGATAAGTACATGAATAGGAAAGGTTTGGAGGGATCTGGGTCAAGTGCAGGCAGGTGGGACTACTTTAGTTTGGGAACATGGTTGGCATGGACTGGTGGGGCCGAAGGGTCTGTTTCCGTGTTGTATGACTCTATCTCTATGAATGTAGCTGAAACTGAGTTGGGGCAGAGTTTTAATCGGTAGGACCAACTCTTCATTTATTTCAAGCAGTATTTTCTGAATTCCACTGTTAAGCAGTGAAGCAGCTTAAGGCTTAGGTAGAAGTGACTTTCTTATGGAGTAAGAGCCAATTAAAGCAAGAAGAGAAATCAGTTATTGAGCCTTTAGAGCCCATTTTGCCATTTAGCTAGATCAGATCTGATCTGAATTTTAACTCTATTTGCCCAGCTTTTCTCCATCGTCATTAACATCCATCCCAAGCAAAAGTCAGTCTCGTATTTGACATTTTCAATTGGCCCAACGCCTGCAGCCAATTTGGGAAGTTCTTTCAGACTTCCACTATATTTGTGTGGACAAGTGCTTCCTAATTTCACTACTAATGGTCCAGCTCTAAGATTCTGTCTTTGTATTCTAGATTGTCTCACAAGAATAAATAGCTTCTGTGTACCCAAATGATAGAATCTCTGTGGCATGGAGGACATAAGACAACATGGGAATTTGAAGTGGCATGCAGGTTGTATGGGGCATGAGCAGCAGTACAGGGCAGGGGAGGGTGCTAGTTGAGGGGTGAGGGATAGAAGGCTCAGCACACCATTGTTCTGCCGTTCACACATTTCGATCACTTAATCTGCACTATCAACGTCCTTCCTTCCCTAACACTCCACCCCTCCACACCATACCATAGCATAAATGCTGCCCCCTCCAAACTTTACATTAGCTCTGATGAAGAGTCATCTAGACTCGAAAAGTTGGCTTGCTGTGTTTTTGTGGATGCTGCCCGATCCACTGTGATCTGCAGCATTTTTTGTTTTTAAAAGTTTTCAACTGAGAAATGCCTTTCAAACAACCCAACTCAATCCTAGCCTGTCTTCCTGGCTGCCTCTGAGCTGCATCAGGAAGTGGCAGACCCAATTTGACACGACCATCGCTCCAAACTGGATTTGTTTCCATGGTTACTTGGGTCTGTCAAACCAGGAGATTTCTTGGCCTGAGCTTCTAACCTCCAAGGTGCGAATCCAGCCACAGATCCAGCTGGAACAGCACTTTGGCTCAGTGGTTAACACTGCTGCCTCACAGCACCAGGGACCTTGGGTGACTGTGTGGAGTTTGCATGTTGTCTCTGTGTCGGCGTGGGTTTCCTCTGGGTGTTCAGGTTTCCTCCCACGGTGCAAAGATGTGCAGGTTGGGTAGATTTGCAATGCTAAAAATTGCCCCATAGTGTCCAGGCAGGTGTAGGTTTGGTGGTTTAGCTGTGGGCTTTGGGTCTGGGTGGGATGCTGTTTGGAGGGTTGGTGCAGACTTGATGGGCTGAGTGGCCTCTTGCTGCCCTGTAGGGATTCTACCATTAACTCCAGGAAAACAAAACAAAAAGAAATTAATGCTACAAGAACAAAAGCACAAGAGATGCTTAAGCATTCAAGCTAATGGTCAAGTTGTCCTTACTCGTACTAGTTAATGTTGCTGTGTGGCTATTAGAGGCCAGACCATTGAGAAGTAATGAGATATATTAGAGAGATAAAACAGATTGTGAAATATGTTACAGTAATACAAGAAATCATGCAGAGCATGCAATAAGATGGGGGCCAAAGTCTGTTTTTGATCCATGGCCATTATAAAATTTAGTATTAGAAATGATCAAAAATTGATTTTTAGCTTGTCAAAACTTTGTGAACAATCATTGATTGTAGTGTGGACCTGTGACTGAATTACTCTGCCATTTTTCCTTCTGTGCACAGAAATCAAGATTTGATAATGTCACTTGATTTTTCTTTTCTGTCCCATTGATTTTATGGAGGAAGCTGCAATTTTTACACAAATTCTTTTTTTATTGATTATATCTTTGCAGCACAGGATAATGGACAAAGCCCTCCTGGTTAAATGCTCAATAGTTTTGGGATTTGTTATCTTCATGTTCTTTCTCAACTCGTTTGTTCCCAGCATCCATCTCGATCTCGGTAAGTAAGTCATATTAGTGATGGTGCAGGCGGTCAGATCCACATCTAATATCCTCCTGCTAATCCCATATCCATCTTTTTTACATCTCACTGACCTTTGTGTTTCGTCTCTGGATCCCATTTGTTTCCAACTTGCATTGTTTGCAGCCTCTTAATGTCTGAAGGTGGCATCACCTTTTTTCAGGTACTATCCCCACATGTACCCACTCACACTCCCAAAAAAACTTCTGCCATTTTGCTTAGTTCAACAATAAAACCCCTTCCAGATCTGGCAACTCTGTGCTATAGTGGGTCTGCCTTGTACCTTCAGTGTTTTCAGTTCATATTTCAGTTCTTTATGTTGATAAACAGAAGGATAATTTTACTGTGGCAGTGAATTCCATAGATTCACCACTCTCTGGCTGAAGAAGT